CTGAGTGCTTGGAATATCATGGAATTGGATGATGGCCGCAATAATGCAGCCGAAAAAACCGCTTTTATGATTGTTAGCGAACAGTGCAGCCAGACAAGCGTTTATATTATTGTTCACCTTAAAGTTGAGATAAAGGCACATTTCTAGGCAAGCATTCTCTCGGATGTGTCTTTGTGGTGCCGAGCATGGCCTACTGATTATCGTTCTAGACAGTAAACCCGAGGGTTCTTGGTTCGCATCCTCCTTCTAAAAAATATCACACCGCACTTTACGATTGAGGACGCATTATAAGAGTGACAGTCAAATCCCACTATTTGATTAGAGTAGTCCAAGAGTTGGCGGTAGGTGCTGCTAAGTTCCATCTGTATATCACATTTCGTCTTAATGGGCCTTACATACCATTTGAATTGACGTTTCGACCAAGTCTTTGCATTTTGCATGCCCAGTCGACCTGACGTAGTTTTTAATTAACATAACAATAAGAAAGTTCTTGGCAAAACATTTGATTTTTGCTTTCATTACATTTACGGTTTTCGCTTTTATAATCAATATATTGTATAACATATTTTTGATCTATTCGCTCTGAGAAGGGCGTTCATTTAATTCTCTAAATAATCTATACAAAACAATTTATCAATAGTTGTAGAGTACATCAGTTCAAAATAGTAAATTATATTTTCACCCTATAATTAATAAATGATTCAAACATTTTGCAAATTTTACATTTTCAAATTGGTTATTCTTCCATTCATATAAAACCTCAATATATTTTAAGTAAATACCATTAATATATCTATTATTTAAATAGTTTCAATATCTAATACAAGTCTCCATTTATATTTTCTTGTATATGTTTCATCACAGCCCAATAAATATTAAGCAGATATTATAAATATATGTGACTAAAATTGCAGATTTAACAGTATCACACATACTGAAACATTTTTTAACAAACTTCACGAATTAGCTACATAAATATACTACTTACGAAACTCTAAACATTTTATTTTATAGAATACTGGCCTAAAACCCAATGTAATAATACTTGAGGTAGATACATGTTTTAGCATGTTATTAGTCAAATCCTCGTAAACGAAACGTGAGGGACATTTACCAAAGTGAAATTTAGCTAACATGATCATAGAAAGTTTCTTTTATTTAGAAACTTTATAAAATACATCATGCATCCGAGATCCATAACTAAATTGGATATCTTTCTCGGGATGGAATTTCGGACTTTAAATCTTTTGAACTTCATATTACCCCCTTATCTATCACTTAAAATTGACGTGTTATATCATAACTTAATATGCTATCATCAATATATGTAAGTAATATTACAAACTTGACAAATATCACGCATACTGAAACATTTTATTAACAAAACTTCAAGTTAGAAAATAGAGTTTTATCCAAGATTTCTCAAAATAATGTGCACGCGCCTACCTTTGAAGGACAAAAAATCTGTAAAATAACTATGATAACAATAAAAAAAGGTTCTTGACAAAATATTTTAATTTTGTTGTTTTTATTGTTTATTAGGGTAGCAGATATGGTCTACAAAAATCTTATCTTTTCTTTACCATTATATAAATCCATTACTTTTACAATACAATGTTTATAATTACAGAATATTCTTCACAATCAAAATAAGTTGTATGTTCACTATACTTTAAGCCTAACTTAATAAATAAAGAACACACTTTGTACGTCACAGAACTTAAAAGTCAGTAAAAAACGAAGTTAACTATTCTTTCACTTTAGATAACAATACCTGAAGCTAAATGTACATTCATGACATTCTCTTTCTCGAAATTTGAGTTAGGAAATTATTTTCTGTTTTTAAGTTACTACTTTTTGTTTTCGATCTAACAACTCACTTATTTGTTTACAACTACTATTGTTTACTAATATAACTTATCAAGATATATACATAGTCTAACTTCTTCAGTATGTAATTGTTTAGACATGTAAACAAATAACAGTATCGTCCATCTTACAATTTAGGTTGTGTTCTTCAAATTTATCCAAGGGGTAAATTCTTCTGACAAGCTGGCAGCTCGATAAACTTTGATATTTACGTATAACACAAAGTGAAAAATGTATGGATTATGTAATATTGGATTGTCAAGATTAAATTAACTTGCATACAAGTCTGGCATATTTCAGTTAGTGTACAATTCTTGTATACTTTCTACTCAATTAGACTCACCATGTCCCTTGTGGGTCCTGCTTGAATCTGGGGTTCAATTCCCTGCAGTGGACACAGCAGATAGCCCAATGTGGCTTTTCTCTAAAACAAACAAACAAGACCCATAAGCTGTATGTTTTTGACATCCATTAACAAAACTTCTCAGATCAAATGCTTAGGTACATAGCTAAATATTCATAGCAAACTATAAGAGACAAATATGAGACCTCTATTTTCTTGTGAATCATCCATCTAAACATACAACTTTTATTGAACTTACACATCACTTTATTAATATGTACAACCGCTGTCATGTCAATTTTCATTGACGAAAATAAAAAATTTCTTGGACCAATGTTCAACCACAGCCTCAAGATCTCACGCCCAGACTGTCTGCATACACGATCGAAGGTCTGTAAAGCATAGACAAGTGCTAGATTAGTCAGTAATGTAGTTCTACTTTTCAGAGTGGATTTACGATAATCGATGGAAAGACTGCAAAAATAAAAGAGACCAGTGTTGAATGGCAGCCTCGAGGTACACAACACGCCCTTTCATGTTGATGATGTAATCATATGACGTCATTTTGTTTCTCAGCAATGCGCCCTCTGGTGTCGATGACGTAAGCACACGATGTCCTCTCTCCTAGAACGCGTCCTCTGGTGTTGATGACTTAAGCATATTATGTCATTCCTTTCTTAGCAACACGTTCCTAGCAGTACAACCAAGTATATATAAGTATATAGTTAGTTACACAGTTTCCCCAAGTATATATAAAAAAACAAATATGTTACACGTCCAGTAGGAAATAATTAATAACATTGTACCGATTTCAAAAAAAAAACTCCACGTAGAACAGTTAAGAATCAATGTATAGCGTATATGTATATCTTTTTTTTTAAGATATTTAATTTCGAACATTTTAAGGCACCCTGTTGAACCTACTTTACTGTAGGCCACGCGTGCTCTTACAAGAAGCCTAATTAACTGGCGCAGTGTGTGAACAACCATCTTAGTTACGTTTGCTTTTTGGATCAACAAAAGGTTTCACAAAGTTATTTCTTAATATAATATAATTTGTCCATATGAATAAGAAAGTAATATATTCTTTTATTTGTATTAAAATAATAACATTATAACATATTCCGTTTAAAATCTCTTGGTTTCTTTTGAGTTGTATTTTTTCAATCTTGTAAAGTACGTTTCTAAAATTTCCTGTTTCAATATATAACAAATTTTAATTCAAAGACTCACACTTCCCAATTAATCTTTTTTTCTGGTTCTTTTTCTTAACAATATTCCCTTTTGTTATCAGTAGTTTTTACAGAGTTAACCAATGTAAACTGATCTACAGGCCAATTTCAAACAACACGCCGACAGTTCAGTTTCAGGTAATTTTTATCTAGTGTGCATAAGTCAAGACCAAATGAAGTGAAAACAGTTTCAAAGTTTGAAGATGTCTCTATTATTTCCAATATATATATAACTAGTACTCTCACTCTACTTCCAGAACATTCTGCAAACGTTCTCCAGATCTTCTGATATATAAAGTAGTTCCGTCCGTTATATTGTGTATTCATCAGATTTGCTTTGCGGATTAAAATAAAGATTGATTTCCATTTTGTTCAGCACGATGCCCAGTCTGTATTCTTTCAACTTAAGCACGTCATGAATACAGTTTTAATTCCGCATATTATTTCCTGTCGTTCTGCCTGTTATTGCAGTTACTATATGAAAGGTTATCATTCAAAGGCCTTTTTTTTGTTTTAAAGCTCACATTTTGAATAATAAGAATAGTAAGTGCAATCATATTTTACTTTTGTTTATAAAAAAGAACAAGAAACTGTAAACTGAGAAAAAGTTGCTTATTTTTCGTTTCTTTGTGTTTTCAAATTTAAGTTCTCCTTTTGAAAATAAAGAAGTAAAAATTAGCTTCTCACAATCTAGAACCATATGGATGAGGAAAGGGAAGGAGTATGTTTAAAACACTACTATGTGACCATTTAGGTGATGTTAGTATGCACATCTTAAAGGGGGAAATATTCGCCTTCTGATTTTCACGGAGAAAAGGGTTGTCTTGTAGAGCCACTCCATGTTTCGCCAAAAAGGGGGAAAAAGGAAGGAGGGTATTTTCGTTAATCCCCCCTCGAAACTTATATATAAAAAAAAAGTAGTAGATGAAGTTTAATTAATGTTGAACTCATGCAGTTTCAAAATTATCAAACGTGTTTGCCGACATATTTCTTGTTTTAAATGTGTGATGACATGGTTATTGTATAACCATTCATCTATTCACTTCAGTACATCTGTTGTATCCAATTTACTAGATCTGTATTTTCTGTTGCAGTGAGAATTCATATGTTAGTATACCTTATTAGGTTTATAGCTAATTATATGCAAGATACAGAAACTTTTATTTATCATGATAGCTATAAAGAAGGACTTTCTGTGGGAAGAGAACCCGACGAAAGACTTGTCCCGTGCCCGATGATGTCAATGGATGGCACTATATTTGATGGTCTTCAATGATGGACTTCGTTATCAACAAGAACAGTGGAAGAGCCTCTAACAACAAAAACGGTGTTTTGGCTGAAAGTTTTTATTCCTTTACGTAGACGGCGCTTTAAAAACCAAAGATAATAATTCGAATTTAAAATTGTATTTTTGAGTATAATAATGAAAATATTTTTCTGGCATATGATATAAAAGTATATTAATATATCTTATAAGAATAAACAATAATAGTTGCTATTAGATATGAAAATATATGACTGTTATTAATATTAATATGATGGTGTAGAGATTGGGTGTGGGTGGTTTACTTCAGCGTATTTAACGATCTGTAATTGTAAACTTCGGATTTATTTTCTTAAGTCAAATATCCAAAGAATTTATGAAAATGTATTAATTGATGAGTTAAGTAAACGTGTTATCATTAACAATATCTGAAATTTGCGTAAGGCTATTGAAACTGTAACGTTAATCTAATGGCCTTAGATTTAGTTCTTATATGTAGTTAGGCTTAAATGTACGATGTTAACAATATAATTACAATCATATGTTTTAAACGGTCAGCCACCTTTTTGAACTGTAATTTTAGAAAGTATATTTATATGACGTTAAATACCATTAGGAATATGGCATATATCTATAATAGATGAAGTTCAGTGAAATTATTAAAACAAAACCTGTAATATGTAAACATACTTCTCTTATGGTTTCATTATTAATCCTGAAAAAAAACTGACCAACATCAAAATTTTATGCTACAACTTCAATGGAAGAAAGTATTATTATACTACTACAAGTGTGTGTTGTAGCTATAGGTAACCATTAGCCTAGAATAAAATACTAGGCCTAGTACTACTATTTATACTACTAGTACCAGTACTACTAGTAGTAGATATCCTACCATTGTGATAAACTGCTAACTTTGACATTGAGCTAATGTCAAGTGAAACATAGTTTTATTATTAACTTAAGAATAGCATTTGACCAGATTCTACATTGCATGCTTGACCTTGAAAGTTGAAGATGGCACATCATTTATGTCAGGCAGGTGAGTAGAATTAATATGTGATATGCCAAAAAAAAAAAACGCGTTTAACAACCTAGTTAAGGTTAATAGAAAGTGGTGAAGCACTTACTGATAGAGCCAAAGTAGCCCTTTTTTACTGTATTAAGTGATCTAGAACTTGTGGAAAAGTGGTAGCTTCTATAAATTAATGTCAGACTTGGTTGTTATGTACTGATGTAATTTTTGTGTGTTTTCAATTACTTCAAATAACTCTTGTTTTATACAATGCAACATTCAAACATAATATTTTGATTTTGTTATTGTACTTTTACAATACTTTATTGTTTTAATTTATTGTGAATATTTATATAAATCTCTAACCCAAGATGATTAGGACAAATATTGAGTAAAACAAAATAAAATAGCCATAGTGTGAAGACAAATATGAATGAAGAGCTTAACAGTTAATCTTTCAAAACTGGAGTCTTGTAAAATATTGGTTGATTGTGAAAGCTGGAGCCTGGTGAAATATTGGTTGATTGTGAAAGCTGAAGCCATGGTGAAATATTGGTTGATTGTGAAAGCTGAAGCATGGTGAAATATTGGTTGATTGTGAAAGCTGAAGCATGGTGAAATATTGGTTGATTGTGAAAGCTGGAGCATGGTGAAATATTGGTTGATTGTGAAAGCTGGAGCCTGGAGAAATATTGGTTGATTGTAAAAGCACCTTTTTGTGATGACCTAATGATATTCCTATAAGTTTTGTTGTTAACAGAGTTGTGGAATAGTTTTCAGAGAGTGTTTTAAAAGATTTGAAATGACAAATCAGGCAAAACGTTATAAAATAAACATGCACAAAAAATAGTTTTCATGAAGTAAAAAACAATAGTAATAATTTGAAAATGTAGATTAGCAAGCTGTGTTATCAGTAAAGGCTTCTGGCTACTTGGTTAACTATTCTCTATGTTTTAGGACTTAATACAAAAATATAACATATCCAGTGTATTCATTGGAACTAATGGAAGGTTTTTATAATCTGTTTTTGATAAACTCAATAATAGGTAGGTTGTTTCTGTATTTAGAATAATGTAACGAAACATTTAAGGACAACAAGTAGCCTATTGTTTTATCGAGGTAGTCCTATACACTAAACTAAACTTTAAAAAAACACCCTCAAAGGCCAGCCCTTATCATTCAAATGTTTATCAGGCCTTCCCTTACGTTTCTTTAAACTTACTGCATCCACCACATCTTAAGGCAATCCATTCCAAAGGCCTACCATCCTGTTAGGAAAATAAAGCTGTCTTAGCTGAAGAAGACTCTTACTCTGCCAAAATTTATGTTCCCTAGTCTTACCATTCTCACCATTAAATATGAAAAAAGATGATTCATCAACACTGTCAATCCCTATAACTATCTTAAACACCTCAATCAGATTCCCTCTAACTCATCTTTTCTCAGGAGAAAATTTACTTGTATTTGTATGACAACTTTTTTACCACGGGTATCTTCCTAGTAGCCCTCCTTTCAACCCTTACCAACAAGTCAATGTCCTCCTTTGATAAGGAGACCAAGATTGAACCCAGTACTCCAAATGTGGCATAAAAAGTGACCCGTACAATGAAATTGTAAACTCTTTATATCGAATATTTCTGTAAATACATCCTACAATCTTATATGCCTTACCACTAGAAACAACACTGCTTGGATGGCTGTGAGAGACCAATCAACCAAAATGCCAAGATCATTTTCTTTCATAACACTGTTCAAGTTTTCCCAGCAATATAGGTATAGAAATGTTAATAATCACTATAGGCTTTTACTTTTATTTATTTCTCTCTTCATATAGGTGAAGAACGAAGGGCAGACAGGGTTAACGAGTTTCCTCACTTATGGAAGTCTTATTGTACGTATGATTGTAACCTTCATACATATCCATACATATTGTTATGATAAAGACATATGCCGATTATATTTTTTTATGTGCATGCTGTCTCTAGTTTATTTAATTAGTGTCACGATTCTCAAAAATAAACAAGTTACCGATATTGGGATTTTTGATTATTACTAGTTGTACTACTATTACAACTATCCAACTGATTGAAATATTTTCGTTATGTTTGTTGTTAAGCACATAGCTATGTAATGGGTTATCTCTGCCAAAAGTGGTTCTTGATATCTGATTTACAGCATTATAAGTTTTTTAGCCATCTCATGAGATTAACTGATTAGTTGAATGTAACTGATTAATGAGCTTGTTGATTTATCAATTAGAAAATTCCTCTAATTGCCTAGATCTTCCTCAACATAAACATAAAGTGACCTTAAGTTTCTAAGTTTTGTAAAAATATTTGATGCTTGGTTTTCATAACATTTTTTTTAAAGGGCTAGTTAGCTATTTGAGATTGGTATCAGTACAGTTATTTCACTGTATAACCTGCATGATCTGATTATTTTGGAAAATGATTAAACCATTGTTGGATATACAAAAGTTTCCAGGAGTTTCATTGTTGGATACAAAAAATTTAACAAGAAAACTGACTTTTTCCCTGTACTTCCCTTGCTTCAAGACTCATGCTTGTTTTGGGAATCCACTTGATATTTATCTGGTTTATTAGATTCATACTTGTTTTGGGAATCCACTTGATATTTATCTGGTTTATTAGATTCATACTTGTTTTGGGAATCCACTTGATAATCTAATAAACCAGATAAATCATATTATTTTGGGAATCCACTTGATATTTATCTGGTTTATTAGATTCATACTTGTTTTGGGAATCCACTTGATATTTATCTGGTTTATTAGATTCATACTTGTTTTGGGAATCCACTTGATATTTATCTGGTTTATTAGATTCATACTTGTTTTGGGAATCCACTTGATATTAATCTGGTTTATTAGATTCATACTTGTTTTGGGAATCCATTGGATATTAATCTGGTTTATTATACCATTTATATTTGGAAATGCAAACATGATGAAATCTTCTTGGTCAGAAACTTGTTCTTGTCTTTTAACCATTTATACTTCTGACATTATCTCATTGAATATACTATTTTATTAATATAAATTTTTATTAATTTAATAAAAACAGACCTTTAAAAGGAAACTTCTATTTCTTTAAAAACCAAGATTTATCAGTTGGATCCATACCCAGACAGAACAACATTTGTAAATTTTTTATGAAGTTAGTTAAAAAAGTAACATTTTTTTCTTGACCTACAGAACTTTTCTGTTTTTTGTGTAAATATTTCATTTTTAAATGTACCTTTGTGGGCTTCATTTTAGCCTCTCAAGCTGTCTTAGAGTAATGATCTAGTATTTGCATAAAAACCGTGGCTAATATTTATTCAAACTTTGCACTGCTGCTGTTTTAGTAACATAAAATCCACTAGTAGCATTTAAAATGTTGTTTTAAATTTATATGTTCTTTATTTTTATATATATGTTTGTTTTCGGTGGATATCAACATACACAAATGTTATATGCTAAATTAAGTACAAAAAGTCTATCAATAGGTAAAAAAAATTATGTTCTGTGCTTTGAACAGCTGTATGTATCTTCAATCTTCCTTGAATATTTTCAGATAAAAAGTCTCATCAACAAGTAAAAAATATGCAGCATGCTAACATGCTTTCTGTCATGTCTCGTTTATGGTAAAAGAAAAAACTATTAGTTTTGTGAAAATACAAACAAGTACATTTTATTTCTATTAGATACTGTCGTGTAAAAGGTTGTAAACCTAGAATTCACAAACTGATAAATATTTTCATAAACTAAATAAACTTTGAGTAAAATGTTTTGTTTTTTTTGTATAAAAAAGGGTTAAGTTTTCATATGCAGTTATAAATGTAGATCTGTGCAAGCACAAGAAGTTATTTATGAATTATTTACAGTGTACCAGCTTCAACAGCAAGCCCCAACTCCAAAACGCATTGTTTGCTCTCGTGAGGTAAGTACCTAAGTATTCTAATCAGCTTGAACAGTGCATGAGAGACATTGTTATTATTCACATTGCTTAGCTTTCTTCTTTCTGTGTCCGTAATGGAGCTGACGACTTTACAGTTTACATTCACTTATGGTTTTATTTTTGTATTTGTTCTCTACTTACTTTCATCATTATTTTTGTGAATATAATTTTATTAGCATCATGACTTCAGTCATGTTCTATAGAGTAACTATACAAATGTATGAGGAATACAGCATAGTAGTAACTATACAAATGCTATGCTGTATTCCTCATACATTTGTATAGTTACTGCTATGCTGTATTCCTCATACATTTGTATAGTTACTACTGTGCTGTATTCCTCATACAATGAAATATTTTTAGTCCAGAAATTGACAATCCAAATTATTCACAATCCAGATGATTTTGATAGACAATAACAGGAACTTTACTCAATACTCCAGACATTCATATTCCCAATCTGAATAGGAATTTCTTATAACAAACATGCATTTTCTATAATACATTATTCAGTAATCTACACATGATTTCACAAAAGTCAAGAAGGGGTCAATCAGTACTTGCACTCGAAATGGGTATCAGTTTACAACAATTTCTTGAGAACAATTCAGAGAAGGAACATACATAGATGTCGAGAGGTCGTCGTAGTGATTTATGCTACAGTTATGTCAAGTCACAGTGTATCAAAATAATAAAAATATCAGCATCATTAAAGGAAAGAAAATTAACGATAAGTCTTGATACCATCAGTCGGGATTTCAGTGTGGAAAGAAATGTCCTCATGGACAAATTAACCATACCTGACATCTTTGGCAGCAAAGAAAAGTGGATAAATTCAGATCAGCAAACAAGATATTGAAATGATTTTAACAAAATGCAAGGTCTGTATCTTTGGATGTGTGATGTTACATCAGAACTGCGTATTAATAACAAAATGCTTATTGTTTGGATGTGTGATGTTACATCATAACTGTGTATTAATGACAAAATGCTTATTGTTTGGATGTGTGATGTTACATCAGAACTGTGTATTAATGACAAAATGCTTATTGTTTGGATGTGTGATGTTACATCGTAACTGTGTATTAATGACAAAATGCTTATTGTGTGGATGTGTGATGTTACATCAAAACTGTATATTCATGACAAAATGCTTATTGAGAAGCTAATTACCTTGGACAGCAGCTTGGTGTAACAAATTTGGATACTTCTAAGGATGGGTACAACATTTCAAAGTTGGATACTCCTTAGGATGGGTACAACATTTCAAAGTTGGATACTCCTAAGGATGGGTACAACGTTTCAAAGTTGGATACTCCTTAGGATGGGTACAACATTTCAAAGTTGGATACTCCTGAAGATGGGTACAACATTTCAAAGTTGGATACTCCTGAGGATGGGTACAACGTTTCAAAGTTGGATACTCCTGAGGATGGGTACAACGCTTCAAAGTTGGATACTCCTGAGGATGGGTACAATGTTTCAAAGTTGGATACTCCTGAAGATGGGTACAACATTTCAAAGTTGGATACTCCTGAGGATGGGTACAACATTTCAAAGTTGGATACTCCTTAGGATGGGTACAAGATTTCAAAGTGGGATACTCCTTAGGATGGGTACAATGTTTCAAAGTTGAATACTCCTTAGGATGGGTACAACATTTCAAAGTTGGATACTCCTGAGGATGGGTACAACATTTCAAAGTTGGATACTCCTTAGGATGGGTACAACATTTCAAAGTTGGATACTCCTTAGGATGGGTACAACGTTTTAAAGTTGGATACTCCTGAGGATGGGTACAACGTTTCAGAGTTGGAAAGTAAAGCAGCAATTACTGCATGTCAAGAAGAGCTATGAGAGCTTAAATCACCAAGTTCGATGTGTAAAACAATCTGATGGTCTTGTAGCAGTTGCTTTGTGTGCTAATGCAAATGGTAGTGATAAGCCATTTATAATTGTGAAACCTAATTGACCAAGATGCTTTGAATCCTGTTGTCAATGCAAGATACAGGTGAAACAAGAAAGTTTGGATGATAATGTTTTTAGAGTGGTTGGAGGAGTTGAACCAAAGAATGATTTCGAGGAACAGGAAATTAATTTTCCCTCTGGACAGTGCTGCACCAAATCAAGAGCAGCCCATTTCAACACTGTACTATCTGCTGCCAAACACCACATCAGTGATACTGACATAATCAGGTCATTCAAAGTTTACTATCACTGTCAGCTGATTAGAAAGTACATAGAATGTGCTGTAAATATCCTTGAGGGTTTAACGAATGGTAAGTTCCACCTGGTTCGGTGTTACTATAACAACTGTTGTTAAGATTTTTACTGCAGCATGGACAGAGCAGAACTGTTGAGATGTCAGAAGTCATTAATGAGGTTGCTTCTGAAATTCATACCTCAATCTTGAGTAGTAATGATGCTTTGTAAGCTGGTCAATAGCTGGACATGTACTCGGCAAAATCAATTGGTCAAGAGTTGCCAGGTGAAGACATCATTTCCATTGTGTCTCATTAAGAGTGTGGTTACAATGAATTCTGACATCAAAAATGGCCCATCGATCCAGCCAGTCTGTGTGAATAAAGCACAATATAGCCTTCAAGACATCACCACATGGTTTGTGTGAAAATGATGACTTAATGTGTTATTTACTTAAAGCTGCAGAGGAACTTCAGAAGAAAAGTTTCAATTCAAAAGTAAACTTTGAGTATATCCTCCTTTTAAAGTGATCTGTTATATACTTGTGCAGGTAAGTTAGGTTTAATGAGTATGATGGGCTACAGTAAAAATTTTACAGTGACTCAAATCCTTATTTTTTTACATGTTATTGTTAAGTTTATTTTATTCAATCGAAAGTTTCGAAAGAAATATTTAATGAATATCAATGAAGTTGAAACTGACAATATATACTGAATGGAAGTTTCTGAATAAAAGTAAAAAAAAAATTGAAATTCTAAGATGAAAGAAAGTATCTTTAATTTTTTTCTAAACTGTCTCACAAAAAATTTTGGAAATTTCACAACCTAAAAAATACTAACATTATATGAATTTCTGAAACTAAATTCAGATACTATTTTGTAAGTTTGTACTCATTTTTATGCAATTTTGTTAAATATTTCTACTATGAAAAATTAGGATATTAAATCCAATCATTAAAGAGTTCCAAGTGTGATACATTCGCTTATTGTATGTTTTTTTTAGGTTACACTGATAATACAACATTTATAAAAGAACTTGCATCAAAACTTGATAGACATGTTACTGATTTTAAGGTCTTCTATCGTAAACATTTTATCACAATATAGTAGAAAATTGGATCATTTAATTGTGACTATAAAGTTTTATGTTGCTCTTGACTAGTGAGTTTTATAAAAGCTTTGTGTTGTTCTTCTAGCATGTACAAAATACTGCTGTGCTTCATGTTTCATTTTGATGTTTTAATAGTATTAATAATTGTAATATAATCTGTAATACTTTGATGTCATACTCTGTTTTAATAGTATTAATAATTGTAATCTGTAATACTTTGATGTCATACTCTGTTTTAATAGTATTAATAATTACAATATACTCTGTAATTCTGTCATACTCTGTTTTAATAGTATTAATATTTACAATATATTCTGTAATACTTTGATGTCATAGTCTGTTTTAATAGTATTAATAATTGTAATATAATCTGCAATACTTTGATGTCATAGTCTGTTTTAATAGTATTAATAATTACAATATACTCTGTAATTCTGTCATACTCTGTTTTAATAGTATTAATATTTACAATATATTCTGTAATACTTTGATGTTATAGTCTGTTTTAATAGTATTAATAATTACAATATAATCTCTAATACTTTGATGTCATAGTCTGTTTTAATAGTATTAATAATTACAATATACTCTGTAATTCTTTGTCATACTCTGTTTTAATAGTATTAATAATTACAATATACTCTGTAATTCTTTGTTTCAGGTTCCGAACAGACCTCTTCACTATGGTAGAGAGTAAGTTTTCAATTTGTGGTTTCTCAGGATTAACTCAAGGTTTTGTGTACTTATTATTATGTACAGAAGCTATGAATGTTTGTGGTTTCTCAGGATTAACTCAAGGTTTTGTGTACTTATTATTATGTATAGAAGCTATGAATGTTGTTTGTGGTTTCTCAGGATTAACTCAAGGTTTTGTTTACTTATTATTATGTATAGAAGCTATGAATATTGTTTGTGGTTTTTCAGGATTAACTCAAGGTTTTGTGTACTTATTATTATGTATAGAAGCTATGAATGTTGTATGGGGATTCTCAGGATTAACTCAAGGTTTTGTGTACTTATTATTATGTATAGAAGCTATGAATATTGTTTGTGGTTTCTCAAGATTAACTCAAGGTTTTGTGTACTTATTATTATGTATAGAAGCTATGAATATTGTTTGTGGTTTTTCAGGATTAACTCAAGGTTTTGTTTACTTATTATTATGTATAGAAGCTATGAATATTGTTTGTGGTTTCTCAAGATTAACTCAAGGTTTTGTTTACTTATTATGTATAGAAACTATGAATATTGTTTGTGGTTTCTCAGGATTAACTCAAGGTTTTGTGTACTTATTATTATGTATAGAAGCTATAAATATTGTTTCAGGTTTCATGGGATGATCTCCAGAGCAGAAACAGAATGGCAGCTTCATGAATGCGATGGATGTTACTTAGTGCGGGAAAGCCAGAGGGCTCCTGGTCAATACACCCTTAGCATGAGGTGGAGTTTTTATTTCTGGTTGATTGTACAGTTGGTTTGTTGTAGCTCAAGTCATCTAACTCTGTGCTTATTAGATCTTTTCAACATTTTTAAAAAAAAAGTAGATAATGCATAAGAAAATGAAATACATTGTACAAAGTAGTCATCAGGATGTATTAACATCATTTGATAACTGTTTCTGTGTGCTATGTTGTGAGATTTTTCAGATGTCCAGGTTATTGACACCTTTATTCTACTGGACAAACTTTAACTGAAATTAACAAAGTTAGTTCATCTTAACTTTAACTCATAAATCAAATACTAGAAATACTACGTATACAAACTGTGCACACTGTAAAATATCAGTCAGTTTCATCTTAACTTTAATTCAAAAATCAAATACTAGAAATACTACGTATACAAACTGTGCACACTGTAAACTATCAGTCAGTTTCATCTTAACTTTAACTCATAAATCAAATACTAGAAATACTACATATACAAACTGTGCACACTGTAAACTATCAGTCAGTTTCATCTTAACTTTAATTCAAAAATCAAGTGCTGAAAACATTACGTATACTATACACACTGTAAAGTGCTGAAAACATTACGTATACTATACACACTGTAAAGTGCTGAAAACATTACGTATACTATACACACTGTAAAATATCTTTCAGTCAAGATAATATTTGCCACTTGAGGGCAGTGTTTCATTCTGAGATAACTGGAAATTTCAGTTGTTTTTATGTCACTAAGGTTACTTAAACACAATAAATATAAAATACTACAGAACTATGATATATTTCTAATGATGTAATGACCTTCCGGGAATTACATCCTAGTAGCACAGAATCATCAGTCTAAGCCTTACTACCTTTAAATGATATTGAACTTTAACATCTATACAGGTTAGGTTTATCTGATAAAATATGCTGGCTGCTTTAGATTACAAGTCAAAGTGTTTGATGTTTTTTCATTTTATTATTTGTTTATTACCAGATTTATGGCAGCAACCAAAAATTTTCGTCTGTATTACGATGGAAAGCATTATGTGGGTGAAAAAAGATTCGACACGGTGCAGGATTTAGTAGCCGATGGTCTCATCACGCTATATCTTGAGTATAATGCTGCGGAATACATATCAATGATGTGTGTTCAGATAAAGTACGAAGAAAGTCCCTACATGACGTTAAGTTCTTATCAGCAAAAAATGCGTCAAATGAGGATTCAGAAGAGGTCAAGCTTTTCAAGCCAAGAAAGCAACAGCACTCGATCTCCACATGAATATGACAGACCTGCTGATGATGTAAGTCGAGCTATCGTTTTCTTTAGTTCCACGTGGGTTTCTTTTTTATCATTTTATTTTTGGATAAGTATAGTAGTACGCAGAATTAAGCTAAACATCTATAACCGATAAAAAAAAGTTATACAGTTCTGATAAGACACTACCAGGCTATTCAGTCAGTGTATATGTAATTGTCCCCCTGTAATTATACTGACTTATAATGCTAAAACCTGAGGTTACTTCCCTCTGGTGGACAGAGCACAGAAGAGTCCATTATGTAGTTTAGAGTTAAAATGAAACATAAAATATACGTTGTTTTTGTAATAAAAAGACAGATAAAATATTTAATAGACCAAAAAAAGTTAGAGAGTAGTAAGTTTCAAAAACTTAATTTACTAAAGGTGTGAATGAACACATTATTACAAGGGTTCCCGCTTTCTTTGTGTCAATAAGTTGGTACCAAGGATAAACAATTATTACAAGGGTTCCTGCTTTCTTTGTGTCAATAAGTTGGTACCAAGGATAAATAATTATTACAAGGGTTCCTGCTTTCTTTGTGTCAATAACTGGTACCAAGGATAAATAATTATTACAAGGGTTCCTGCTTTCTTTGTGTCAATAAGTTGGTACCAAGGATAAATAATTATTACAAGGGTTCCTGCTTTCTTTGTGTCAATAAGTTGGTACCAAGGATAAATAATTATTACAAGGGTTCCCACTTTCTTTGTTTCAATAAATTAGTACCAAGGATAAACAATTATTACAAGGGTTCCCACTTTCTTTGTGTCAATAAATTAGTACCAAGGATAAATAATTATTACGAGGGTTCCTGCTTTTTTGTGTCAATAAATTAGTACCGAGGATAAATAGCAAAGGGCATTAAATAGATAAAGGAGCTGATACCAGTAAACCAATGTAGATTTTATTGTTTCAGTAATCCACAAGAGAACATGAATAAAGAGGAAAGACTAGTGAGATAAGGGTTTTAAAGTACATAATTTTTTATTCATTGGTAAGAGCCTATTTAATTTGTATCAAATTATTCAAAACTTGTGTAAGTTTTCACTGCCACGGAATACATGTTCCCTCCCCCAAAGTACAGTCATAGGTACATATATATATTTGACACACTATATAATCTTTGTTTCAGAGTTCAAAAGTGTGATAATAACAACATGTGAATTTGAAATTTTGTACCATAATGAAAAAAAAAGAGAATTTCCTTTCAAACTTTCTAAATCTTAAAGTAAGTGGCTTTTATTTTTATTGCGTATAGGAAACTAAACCTGGCATTATGAAAGAGTTGGTTATAAATGTGCCACTTGAAGTGTTAACACTATCATTTTGCACATGTTGTAAGAACAGCGGTTGTTTTGTCATTGAATATGTGAAGTAAGGATATACTTTATTTTTCAGATAGGAATATTTTTCCAAGAAGATTCAGTACTGGGTGATATTGATGTCCATCGCTTTGAGAAGCCTCACAACTTCAGGGTAAGTGTGGGTGATATTGATGTCCATCGCTTTGAGAAGCCTCACAACTTCAGGGTAAGTGTGGGTGATATTGATGTCCATCGCTTTGAGAAGCCTCACAATTTCAGGGTAAGTGTGGGTGATATTGATGTCCATCGCTTTGAGAAGCCTCACAACTTCAGGGTAAGTGTGAGTGATATTGATGTTC